ATGTTATATAATGTACACTGAGAGATTCTCAAGGCAGCCGAGAGATGCAATCTCTCCAGGGACTCCTGGGTGTGCCCTGGGGCCTCCTCCTAGTAGAACATACCCAAAATGCCTTATCTAAAAGGCATCCTACACAGATGCCCAAATCCTATCAACTGGCTTCTTTTGAAGTGTGAGATCATCTTGTGAGACAATGGAACAAAGTGCAGCCAGCGTCCAAAGAAGAGCTTTGAATGTCCTTTAAAAAGACTGGTGAACTATTCCTAAAATAGTTCTATTGGTTATACAGACTTTCAAGTTCATTAGACTTGTACAAACTCTGTCTTTGCCTGTGCTGTATTTCCATTTCTGTTTGCATGTCTTAATAAATGGTTTCACTTAATTCTAATTTACCTAGTGAAATATAAAGAAATGAGGGGTTGCTCAAGACTTGCACAGTACAGCACCTTACAGATATTGTATCTATACACTTTCTAGTCATATATGGCAAAACATAGATTTATAAAATTATGATATTTTCTTAATTTAAAAAAAAACCCTTTGCTTTTATATCCCGCCCATCAATGAATGGGAGGGCAAAGGGGTCGATATGCTGAAGCTTTTACTGACAACAGAAACTGAGAGAAACTAATGGGGAGAGATGTGGGAAGACTTACATATGTGCATTTTTCTGTAGTCTAAAAAAGAAAAACACATTCAAACAGTGTAGTTAAATTTGATGCAAATTGAAGACTATTTTTTAATTTAAAGGCACTCTACAGCACACAAATCAGTGCCAATTAGTTTCATAAAATGAGGATCCAACATGTTTTCCACTCAAGTACATTTTAAAGTAAATGGTAAATGGTAAATGGCCTGTATTTATATAGCGCTTTTCTAGTTAAAGTTAAAGACGATGTCAGCTGATGGCACTTATTTTAAACCTTTTTTCTTGTGTTTTTTTGTTTATTGTTTCTGAATCACTGAACCACCTAGCCCTAACCTCCCACAGTAATGAAGGAAAAACTTCTCATTTGTGGTTTTCCCTTCTTCAAAACAATGTCTTCACACTGTGTCTAACTCAAACAGAATGCATTGTTCTTCAGCTTGTTAGATAGCACTGAATCAAAGCCCCACACTGGCATTCAGATGTCAGTTAGAAGGTCCATTTTCATGAGGCCGTGCTAACACCCGCAGTTCCCAATTTTTTCCCCCGTTGTGTTCACATTCAGTGCATGGTCATGTCTGCACTGCAGCTTTCTCTTTTCACTTTCAGTGAGTTTATCGTTAAAAAGTAAAAGTAAAATTAAGTACATGACTCCGTGTCAGTACCCAGCCTTTAACATGGGCTGAAAAACTGCCCCTGGTGGTGTCGTTACAGTGAATCATAGAAAAGCAATATGGCTGCATTCTTACTAGAAATAGCAGTGCTTGAAAAACAAAGCATTCCCTTTTTTGAACATTAAAGTACTCATTAGCATTCGTGCATAAAGTCTAACAAAAGATTTTCCACTGTCATCTCAAAATGGTCTGACATCTGTGCCAAATACTTAAAATATAAACTGTTTCCTGGAAACAAGTACAAACACAGAGCCGCCCTCAGCGCTATAGGGGCAGGGATAGCTCAGTAGGTAAAGTGGTCGCCCCATGATCGGAAGGTCGGCGGTTCGAATCCACTTAACGGCTACCCTGAGGTACCCCTGAGCAAGGCACCGTCCCTACACACTGCTCCCCGGGCGCCTGCTTAGTGGGCTGCCCACTGCTTCACTGAGTGAATGGGTCAAATGCAGAGAAAAACAAGTAATTTCCCCATGGGGATCAATAAAGTATCCATTATTATTATTATTTCAGAGGAATTAAGTAAAGCTAAGGTGCTGAAGGAACTATAGAAACTTTTGTACCTTAGAAGTGCACAGTGTGCCATTTGACCATGCTGTATATGACAGCTGTTTTGGTTTGAGGTTGAAAACGATCATCACCTTCTCTATTTTCTGCTACCCACAAAAGTATGAAGAGGACAGAATCTCAGTGAACTTAAATTTTAGTATCCATTTATTAGCTAACAACAAATAGCTAACAACACAGCTATTTTTGTTAGCTATTTCATGGATCGTGGGACATTTAATATTGCTGACTTTTATAAGACTGTAGCAAACCACATCTTCATTTCTGATGGTCCAATGTCAAATATTTTTGTCAAGCATTTTTGAACGGAGTTTTGTGATTACTGAAGAAACTCCAGAGAAATTGTTGCTGCTGGTGCAACTGGTCGGTCGCAATGACTGGTGGGGGGTGGAGTTGAAAATGTGCAATTTTTAAAAAAGATACTTGTCCCATGTATACAGAATGAAAAGCACAGACAGTGGCTTCAGTGTGGCTCTGTTTTGATTTTGCTCTTCTTAATGTTTAAACTTCACTCTTCTTTACAAGTGACTGCCACACTAACAACAGCAGAACAAGAGTAGCCCACAGACCAGTTGCCTTTATCTGGCAACAGACAGATTCTCTCTGCAGGTAGACAGTCCCTACTGTCATCACGCTGTCAGTGGAAACCCATTTTCAGCCCATCACTGTCAAGGGTCTTTGTTCTGTCTGCTGGAATTTATCTTATGCTGGTTTCTCAACACTTGTAACTCAAAAGGCTGACTAAACTCGCCGAAGTGACAAAACATTTGACAGGTTTAAAAAAGATTCAAAAAGCTAAATAGAATGTTTTCATCTTGAAAATCTGACAGCTTAAAGCATGCAAGTAAATTTCCATAAGTGAAGACTTTAATTCAAAATTCAGTGATCTTTTTTAATGAACACACAGTTTTTATTTTTAAAAACATTAAAACATCTTGAAAATGTGAAATATGTAACTGGAGGATTTATTTAAGTTCCCATAACTATCCTGGGGCTTTTATTTTGAAAATCGCACCACAAAATAACTGTAGCTGTATGTGCAAACTGAGAAGTTGTACTTTGAGAAGTCCATACATTTTAAATCACACTGGTCTCCCGATCAACCAATGGCTTTTATTTTGAAAATACAACACACCTGGTTCTTCCTGTTAGCTACTAACAGGGTCTGGGACTGTTGTCTGTTGTACATCAGTATGTGTCATGAGAAAGCAGAAGACAGCTTTAAAATTGTGTGCGCGTCTGTGTTTTACTTTACTACTGCCAGCAGGGCGATGTAGGCTGAAGTCAAACACAAGGTGATCATTTAATGCTGATAAGACCAGAGATTAACAAAGTTCAAAATCCAAAGATTAACAAAGACCAAAGCTAGGTATACAAATCTATGAAGCACAGGAAACTACTTCAAGAGAACAAGCAGCTTCATGGAAAATGTGACAAAGGTGAGACAAACAAATCTCTACCGAAATAAAACAGGAAATTTTAAAAAAAACTGAACAGGGGATAACAAGTCGACACAGGGAGAACAAACAGGCAGGGAAACACAAATGAAACTGAAGGAAAAGAATGAAAACAACTCTTGTGAATAACAAGCTAAGGACTAACCAAAACTTACAGAACCCCAAACAAAGAAAATCTAAAATAAAAGACTTGAACAATAAGCTCAATATATACAGGAGCCGCTCGTAAATATAATACATAAAACATATATATACATAAAAGTATAAACAACACTGGTAGTCTAATTTTTCAAAAGAAACAAAGGGCAAACCCAAACATGAATCATACAGGCGAATCATAAGGCCATCAAACATGGCCTTATAATCAGACTCAAGCATTTGCCTGGGAGACAGACAGGTATTTGGTGTGATTGCACAAGACAAATATCAGCCAATCACAGGGTTGATAGTTGGGCGAGAAAGGATATTGAAATTAACCATTTAGATGGAAATATTCAACTGAATCAATTTTTCAGCCGCCCTTTGCTTATATCTGGAATGCAGCCCAGGGCTAAGGGTACAAATCATCTAGAATTAAATGGAGTTTCCAAAACATTTTATTTGAAATTACAATGTAATTATATTTACTTGAAAATGTGTAGATACATATTTGTATCCTTTTGGGGGGGGATAACAGCCTGTAGTTGTTTGCTATAGTTTTCAACAAGTCTCACTCATGTCTCCTGAGCAATCCTGGCCCATTTTTCTCCTCCAGATTTGATGGTTTTCTGACATGGACCTTGGTCTTCAGTTCACCCCACAGATTTTCAGTGGGATCAATCGAGTCAGGACTGTGTGCAGGCCAGTCAGTAAGGTTCACTTTGGTCTTATTCTCTTCTTCCTGAGAAAACGTTGACAAAACAAATTTCATACACTAATGGAGTAATAATTCATTTTATCACAGGAAAGTAGAAATACCTAAACTGTAAGTCATCTTATACGCAGAGCCTCTGTGTTATTTAGTTATTTCCCCATTTTACACTGTAAATATGTTGTAATTGTATTATGTGGCTTAAACCTTGCCTTTTAAACATTTTGATTATGAGTTATATTGCCATGAAACATTGCTGTTTCACTATTCAGTTGTGCTGCTATTTTTAGCACTTTGCACTAAAAAAAACTTTTCCACGTTAAAAATTATGTGTGATTCTGTTCTCTAGGCATATGAGCAGTCAGTCTGTGTATGGTGGACAGATAAAGAGATACCGGTGATTCTAAATTGCCCATAGGTGTGAATGTGAGCGTAAATGATTCTCTGCCTCTCTGTGTTAGCCCTGCGTGGCACACCCCAAGGTGCACCCTGCCTCCGGCCCTGTGGTGGCTGGGATAGGCTCCAACATATCCCAGGGACTTGAAATTATGGTCTTACTAATAGATTTTTTTTCTGCTTTTCCCACTCTGTTGGTTAATTCATCCACTCTGACCCCGCCTTTCACTTGAATGAGTATTGATGGAGATTATTCAGATTTTTGCAACAAATTATAAAATGATTTGTAAAAAGTAATTAAACCAAAGTGCTAGCAGTCATAACACTGCCAAGCCATGTGTAGGAGGCTCCAAGGAAGAAAAATAATAATAAAAAAAAAAAAGGAGTTCAGTTGATCATAATATTGTCATAGCTTCTGCTAAGGCCATGCTAAAGATTCATTGGCAGGACACGCTGGAAGAAAGTTCAAGGATTTTAATGATTTTAATGAACACTTCAAATTTATAACGAGTAAGTATTTATCCTTATTCAGAAATCTCTGTTCCTTTGCAAGATTAAGTCTTGTTACCATCAAGTGGTTTGACAGATGAGTGTGTTTCTATTTCCAAGCTGGTTGCTGGTTCAAGTAGTTATTGCTTTTACAGTGGAGGTTACAGGCGAGTCTTTGGGTGGCACAAGCACAGAAACAGGTAAGAATACTGTTTCTGATGAGTTTGAGTTCAGATAAGTATTTTCTTGTGGGTGGGAGTGGAACACAAGTTTCTCCAGAAGCAGGTGGCTACAGCAGGACAAGATCTGTGACAAAAGAAGACAGGTCTGGTAAGTGCATTGAACGGATTAACAGGTAAGCAAACAAAGCATGAGAGCTGTGGGTTCTGTGGTAGTGAGTTACAATAACACAATGTATACCAGCAGTCCAACAAGGAACACAGAGGACAAAGATAGAGAACGCAGGTTAACCTGGGAGGACACGAGCATGGCAAACATATACAGGGTGGGCCACTTATATGGATACACCATAATAACATGGGAATGGTTGGTGATATTAAAGTCCTGTTTGTGGCACATTAGTATATGTGAGGGGGCAAACTCCTCAAGATGGGTGGTGACCATGGTGGCCATTTAGAAGTCGGCCATCTTGGATACAACTTTTGTTTTTTCAATAGGAAGAGGGCCATGTTGTCATGTTTCGGCCGTGTGGCAGGCAGAATGAGGACCCAAATTGCAAACTCACAGACACGGGGGATAAACTCAAAATGCAGCTTTATTGCTGATAAGTGATAAACAATAACGATGATACAAAAGCAATACAAAACTACACTAAACTGGGAAAAGCTAAAGTAACATATACCGGAAGACACGGGGAGAACCACACACGGCATGAGGGAGAACGCGACGCCGAACAGAGGAAGACGCAGACAGAAATACACAGAGGGTTAACGAGGAAAGTGGAAACACACGGGGAACACAGGTGACACAGATAACCATAACGAGACAGGGCGGGGTGAACATAACGCTGACGGGTACAGGCACAGAGGTTCAGACAGGAGGAGAGAGAGCACGGGGAGAACGCAGACATAACGGGCTGGGGAAAACATAGAATAAAGCACAAAGAGAGACGAGGGCTCATAAATACACAGAGGGGCACACAGGGGGTAAGAGTCACGAAGGGAAAACACATAAGGAACAACGTAACAGATCAACCCAGGAAGCATGGCCTAAATAAAGAACAAAATACAAAAATACATGAAAACTAAGAATACTGGGCCCACATGGCCCAGGACCATGACACATGTGACACATCAAACTTATTGGTAATGTCACAAGAAAAACAATGGTGTGCTTGGTTTCAACGTAACTTTATTCTTTCATTGTTTCATTGCTTTCACTTCCATTGTTTGCAACAATCTGACCAGGGGTTTTTAAATTTCATTCATCTATTAATTTTATATCCATATATTGCTTTTCTGTAGCCAACTCTGAGCATTAAAGGTGATTGATCTAAATATCCATAGTATCCATCCTAACACTGGTATTGATATCCAACCAATACTAGCTTTATAGCACTGATATCTTAATTCTCGCCTATAAGTTCAGAGTGTAGACCAATGAATTGTGTTACTTTTACATACACTATGGAAGTGTCTGTAGAATGTGTTCAGAAATGATTGATCTCATAAATTATGACACACTGCTCTCCCCTACTTAGGCTGCTTTTATAGGTTAAAAGTATCAGTATTGGTATGGATACAGGTATTGGTGTGAAAATTTGCAGTACTGCACGACACTGCTGAGCATCAGTGTTATGGGAAGTATCATGCTGTCAGCAGATCTCTTTATCTCACAGCCTTGTTTTTTTCTGTCAAAACTATTTTTTAATCTAGTCACATTTTACCACGTGTTTAAAAAAACCTATGCTTCTGAAATAGAGAAAAGACACTGGTGCTTATGTGTGCTTATCATATTGATAAGACAACTTTAGATCTCATAATGTTTGCTATTTGAGCACACAAAAGAGTTTTGTTTTGTTTTTTTGTCACAGAGGAAGCATCAATAGATGCTCTTTTTGTAATTTGCAGCTTCATTGCCTGTTCATCTTGTGGTAATTTGCTTTTGGCAAGAACAGTCACATCCCTTTTTACTCACTTAATTAAGTTTAGAGAATAACGTCCACTTGCTGTGACATTTGTGTTCACCCTCACATCATCTATCTCTAGTGAATGAAAAAGGAGAAAATATAGGATGACGCTGATGTATTTGCAGGACTATAGCACACAGCTTATATTCATGGGAGAAAATGAAGATTTAATGATGTATCAAAAGAATAAAAGGTGACAGATGTCTCAGCCTCTGGCTGATGACACTAGTGATATTTCAGGGACACCTCAAGATTCCTCATGCTCTGCTGTTATCGTTTGGGTTTTTTAAAGAATTGCCCTCAAGTAACTGCTAGCAGATGAATTTGTATTGAATTTTTGTGCACCTGAAATGCATTGACCTGGTGGTGACACCCCAAAAGAAAACAAATAAACATTTTATTCTTCAGCATTAATATTTTATAAGTTGTCCTGTTTGATCGGTATATTAAACCCATTAAATGGTTTGTTTTTTTTGTTCTATTAACAAGTTCTCCTCTCAGGAAAAGCAACTTATAGTCTGACCTGAGAGATTTGCTTTGACATTTACAGAGGCTACTGTGTCCAGGCCACCATACTTTCTGCTGCAGTTTTCTTCGCTCTGTTCTTCATGGATGCTGGAGATAAATTTAATCTTCCTAGTCACGAGTTCATTATTTGCTCACAGTGATATTATTTCTGTTTTTACAGTATAATAACATTTGTGTAAACATTGTGAATACCAACACAAGGGAGGATGTAATTTTACTGCTGGAATAAAACCAGCAGAAGTAAACAAGCTTTCTGGGGGGCACGCAAAAAGGCAAACGGTAATGTTTTATAGATATTCTTGGCTATCCCTTTGACAGCACATCAAAACATACAGCTCTCCACACATGACGCATATCAAGGCTCTCTGAAATAATTTATGAGACCTTCTTCACGGATGCTACCCACACTTGCACAACAGCAACCGAGATCTACAAACCAAATCGAACTTTTGTTGAGTTTTGGCTGCACCCTGCATTTCTGGATCAGCAAACAATACATGAGATGGATAAACTTCCAAGCCCTCATGTGAAGGTGATATGTTAAAAGTAGCTCTTTATATTTTGAATCCATAAGGCAATTTATAATTCCACAGAATTGTGAGAATATAATAATGTAATAGACACATTTTTATATATCATCTTGGACTCTATACTTTGGTTTTATATTTTAATTGCACATGTATGTAGTTTTGTGTCAATGGACTTTGCAGTATGTTTTCACATTGTTAAAGCAGGTAAAAAAAAGCTCAATATAAAGTGTTTTTTTAAGGTTTGGGGCCACCATGGGTGGTCAGACTCAACTAAAGTTCAGCTGTCATTGATTCTGAACTGTGTGGAGCACCATTCTTGCCAAAGATACCCCCTCATTTAATTTTATCATAATTATTCATATCATTTTAATTCTCATTAAGTTGTTCAGTGACCAATCATAATTGCTGGATGGGGGCACTATTATCCAGCAGGACAGAAGCACTCAGAAGAACTTTTGTATTGATTTTCTTTGACATTGTCTCTGTAATGGGAGAAGTGAACCAAAACCATGTCAGAAAAAGGCTTTCACATCATAAAGCAGCTACTGGATTCATTCTCGCTGTAGGGGTCAAGGTTTTCCTCCCTAAATATGCAATGCACTGAGCCTGTATTCTCACAGTCTATTGTTTCTCTGCGCTCCATTTTTGTAAAGCAAGCAGAAGTTGTCATGTTAGAGCAAATGTCACTATTGTCAGCTGACCTGAATGAAACTCAGCAGGGAATAATGACATACATTAGCAGGCAGTAACAGTAGTACACGGAGACCAATTTTCTTCTAATTGGACATAATTGGATCTAAAGCTTAATTTTGCCTCTACACTACAGTGGTCTTAGTCACAAACCAGAAATTTCCCCCCACCTCCCCACACACCTTTTTTCTTCTTTTTTTAAAATAAATCAAGATGAAATCAATGTGATGATCAATTTCGATGTAAAGAATATGAAGCATCTTAAGGAACATCTTCATTACACAAGAGAACAGCTAGGATCAGACTGAAAGGACACGTGTCTGTGTCCACACTGGCTGTCTAATAAATAAGTATTTAACATATAAAGGTTTCACTGGAGTCAGTCAAGCTGTGTGGGCAGGAAGTTAAATTTCAGTCTATTGCACTTCTCCACTGTCCACCACCATAGCCAAAGCTAATCTTCCTCTCTGAAAAGTCAAATGGATGCTTTTATATATGAAAGCACATTTTTGTAAAAAGCACCCACCTTTTTCTTTATGCGGGTAGGTCACCACTACCTTTCTGTCTGGCTGTCTGCAGAGCATTCGTCCACAGCTTTCAAAGATGTCTTTTACATTTGCAACCCTCATTGCATCCCTTTCTATTTATAGGAATAAATGTAGCTGCACATATTTAGTCATTTCTTCTTCTGCCAACATGTGTGTCTCATTTTAAATATTCATACTTTTAGTCACACTGGTGGTGCCTCCACGCCCGATAAATATCTCATAGAATACATTTCTAGACAAGATAAATCAGTGACCTTTAAAGAATCCAAGTTATGATTTAGGAGTGTGGGAATTTAAATCATTTAGCAAGTCAACTAAAAACTCTTAGTGCCAGGACTTGGCCTTAATGTGAGAAGAAGTTATTTGTTTACAGTGAATAGAATAAAGTGCACTGTGTGGTTTGTAAAATTATTCAAAATGCTATATAAAAGCCTGCCTATTCCATTGTTTGCATATGTGCTGTCAGTAAGTGTGCAGTAAGAGCTCAAACATGTTCTGTTCAGTGTAATTGCACACTTTTTTTCCTGGTTATATTGTAGCCATGGGTTATTGGCATAAATAATTCGTAATGTTATTCTAACACATTTATAGTCTTGATTACAGTAGAGCTATTTGCAGATGATTGAACCTCCCGTTTAATGCGGAAATCTCTGAAGCAGCTGTTTAAAATTAATTTCTAGTTATCATAGTACAATATTCTCTTATTACCACATGTACAGTGTGCCGTCTGAATGAAAATGCTTTCAGGCCAGTATCTGGGAATTCATCTGGTTTCTGTAAAATTAAATAGGTGTGAGGATGCTGTGGTATCTGACAATGAGACATGTATGTGTAGCAGAATGAATATTATGTTTCAGTATT